ACACACACACATCTAATATGTACGATGCTAAAGTGTAATAGTATTCGAAACCGACGGGGAAATTCAAAATCAAAAAAAAAAAACGCAAGCAAATTGTAAAATCTTTGGTGATTGAAGGAAAAAGGAAGTAATACTTTTAGGTAATCCTCAAAAGGACGATTTGCGCCAGCCGATGTTCAAAAGAACAATTTTAGAATAACTATTCTTCGAGAATGAATTCATATCACTTAGTCTTGCAAGTAGCATGTGCAAAGTCGACGAGAATTTGGAAATAAAACTAGAACGGTAACTATGGATGGCTCAAGAAATCGATCTTTAAACATTTGTCTTAAAACTTAAAAGGAATATCAACTCGCCAATGATTACCGGTAAAGTATGAAACCAAACATAAAAATAATGCTTCTAATTCTGAAAAACTTTTCTGTCTTTTCGTCCAGCAGGAGAATTTTTGGCTGAATACTGGCGCCGATTACCACCTTTCAGCTTGTGATTCCCACTGTTCTGGACACTGGAAATATCTGCCATTTGCTTTGTTAGCATTTCCTGGTTCCGAATCATTGACGGCTCTGGGGTTTCCACGCGAGAAATCTGCAAAAAATAAACGCTAAACAGTATGGAAATCTGTCGTATCCGCCTTCACTTCAAATAACCTAAAAAAAGCGCATGTTTTACAAAATTTATCACTCACTCGATGTGTTCCAGAAATTTTAAAGATGCAAACAATGAATATCTCTGGCTAGGGGAATGGAACAGGAAGTCTTCTAGTCTTCTACGTTTTAACATACGTAGTTTGTGTGGCGCCGTTGGCCCACCGTGAAGAACACAATCGAATTTTGACAGTTAAGGAAAAACTGGAAATGCCATTTCAGTCTCTCAGATAAGCAAGCCTGTATGTACATTGCACTGGTATTCTGTCTATGTTTCATCCCTGAGCTGTAAACACAGACGGCAGAATCGGTGCACAAATCCTGCTCACATTTTTACATCTACAGGAAATGTAAATAAAGAAAAACATTCAGCAAA